CCCCAAAACCCCAAAACCCCAAAACCCCAAAACCCCAAAACCCCTTAAAATTTTCAGAAAATTGAATAGTTATCCCAACCTATTAAAATTTCCTGTCCTTGCTGGCCTCTGTTGTGTAAAGCCTCTTAAGGCTTGTTGTATGGCTTTATTTCTATAAATTAGAACAGGCTTATTTCTACCTTGACTGTATCCTTTTACTGGACCTATAATCATCATCAATCTTGACCCTGATCTTCATATGGCCTTTGTGTTTTAAAGTTTCTTTCCTCCTTTCCTTCATCTGGAGACATATGAACTCAAGGTTCTTCTTCTCCTTCATTTTGACAAAGCTCTTCCTTGATTCATCGTTTGATAAATTATTGACATCTGCTTGGACTGCTGTTCTGAAGTACCACTCATCTTTCCTTCTAGCTTGTGTTTGAATCTTTTTATTTTTCCTGTAGCTGTTCATGCAGAGCTGTTCTAAGCATTTCGATGCTCCTTCTCTTATTCTCTAACTTCTCTCTAGGCGACTTCTCTTCAGTCCATGATTGAGGCAGATACTAGACAGGTTAACATAGAGAATTACAGTAGTTGTCCTCTCCTTGCTCAGGTTCATAGTCGATTTCTGTACGGTTGGTTCATAACTCAAGTTCAGATTAACCATCCCTCTGTTAAATGTAGCGATATTATTACTTGACTGGTTGCCATTCTTGCACTGACCAGTTGGCGAGATGTTGCCCTTATAAGGAGCCTTTTGTGTATTAGAACCATTGTTATCGATCTCTATTTCTCTAGTAGACTTCTTCTTCTCCTTGAACATCTCATAATTCTGCTTAAGCATGTGGTAATACCGACTATTTTTGTAATTTCTTCTTGAAATCTTCTGCTTTTTGCTGTTGTATCTGTTTCTTGTTCTCTCCAAGGATTAAGAGGTCAACTTCATGGTCTCTCTGCTTCTGGTTCATTTTCTGAATTCTGTTTTGCTCTATTTGAGCTTCAATTACCTCAAGTTGGTACTTTTTGTAATTTTGGGATTTCAAGTGCTTTATAGAATCCATATTATTCTCTGCTTGAGAAACCTGTGCTGCATAACGATTCGAGCTCTGGAGTTTAACCTGGAATTTACCTTTATAATTGGTCTTGACTCGTAAGGACGATAGTTGTCATCTGAAGAATTCGAGTCATCATCATTTCTGTTAATTGTAACGTTTGAAGTTTTTGGAGGATTTATTTGAAAGCCTGTATTTCATTGTGAGAGATTACTGTAAAATTTAGAGGTTCAAGAATTAAGCTTATAAGTACTAATGTTTGAACACTAACGACTTTACCTCTAATTATGTATATTGAAATTTCTTTTCAGATTATCAATCCCAGAATGACTATTATTTAATCCATTAGGAGTGGTGATTTTCGTGTTTTTCTGAAATCCATTGTTTCTATCTAAGACTCCTGAAACTATATTTTAAAGTTACTCGAGGCCAATATAATTCATACCTGATCTATTCATCTGACTGTGTCTTTCCTGGTCAATTGTAGGGAACATAGTTAATTTTTATTTCTCAAAAATAATAAGTAAAAATGGGGTTTTGGGGTTTTGGGGTTTTGGGG